TTGCCATCTTCCTTTCTTTCTCATCAGGAGCCGGCTGTCTGTTTCTGCTTCTTGCAGCCCATCCCTTGATGTTGTTGCACAAAGTTCTTCTTCTTCCAGAGTTATGTATGCCTCAGCTGAGGCCTCTCGGGGTATCTGATGCAGATACAGGAGCCGGCTAGACCATAAATAAAAAAAAAAAGAAAAATTAACACAAAAAGTAAAAAAAAAACTAAGGAAGGCTAGATTAAGGAAGGGATAGAATTACAATGGGGGTGGATGGGGTATTTTGGAGTGAAGGTCCACTTTAATTTATTTTCTGCCACTAGAGTAAATGCAAACCTTGTATCAGTTATCTCTGGGTCATTGTGACACCCATCAATCATGTCAGGCACTTGTATGCCAAAGTACTGCTTACATAAGAAGCAACCAACATAGATAAAGCCAACGTTCAGTCCAAGAGCTTCAGCGCTGCACATTCAATCTACATTGATAGCTGCTGACTCTGCAAAATTCCATTTGTACTTAAAAGATGAACAAATATGGAGGATAAAGGAACTAGTAGTCAGGCTAAAGGTTTCTGTTTCTTATGCAGGCCATAGATGGGGAGAAAACCGGCCGATTTTTCTTTAAAAAAACGAAAAAAATCGGTCGTTCAAGCGGCCGACGTTACCAGGAACGGTAAAAAAAAAATCGGCCGATTTTCATCCCGTCTACATCCGGCAAAAAAATGTCCTTGCAGAGAGCTCTGCTATTTCTTTGACAGTCCTTTGACATTTATAGCGGTTGCAACAATGTAGCTATTTGTATACATTTTGGATACAGATGTTTTTATTTGGAAACAAATAGATACATTGTTGCAATCGCTATAAATGTCAAGGAACTGTCAAAGAAATAGCTGAGCTCTCTGCAGGGACACTTTTTGCCGGACTGGAATTCCTCTTCTACTTCTTCCTCTTCTTCTTCATCCTCTTCTTCTTCATCCTCTTCTTCTTCATCCTCTTCTTCTTCATCCTCTTCTTCTTCATCCTCTTCTTCCTCTTCTTCATCTTCTTCATCCTCTTCTTCAGCTTCTTCATCCTCTTCTTCAGCTTCTTCATCCTCTTCTTCAGCTTCTTCATCCTCTTCTTCTTCTTCATCCTCTTCTTCTTCATCTTCTTCTTCATCCTCTTCTTCATCCTCTTCTTCTTCATCCACTTCTCCTTCCTCTTCTTCTTCATCCTCTTCTTCATCCTCTTCTTCTTCCTCTTCTTTATCCTCTTCTTCATCCTCTTCTCCTTCTTCCTCTTCTTCTTCTTCTTCCTCTTCTTCCTCTTCTTCCTCTTCTTCTTCATCCTCTTCTTCATCCTCTTCTTCCTCTTCTTAATCATCCTTTTCTTCTTCTTCCTCTTCTTCATCCTCTACTTTTTTTTCTTCTTTTTGTCTTCCTCTTGCAGGTCACTGCTCATGCGCAGATTTTTTTATTGGTTTTTCCAACTTTACCGATAAAACAAAATCTGCCAAAATACCAAAAAACGGGCCGAACAATTAGCCCACTAACGATCCAAAAATCGGCCGATTTTATTTTCGGCCGAAAAATCGACCGATTTTCGACCCATCTATGGCCTGCATTAGACCCATAAAAAAGACAAAGAAGAAGTGGGGCAGGGGAGGGAAACACACCAAGCCAAAGAACCAACAGCCCGTAGATATGTCCGGCACTTTCAGCCTTAGCACACACATTCTCACAAAACATGAACATTTCTTTTCTCAACAAGGTTTTGCATTAGGAAACATTTATCCAGTTCCAAAAAAAAAAATGCATATAATGACAACTGTGTATTCCAACATACAAAATGAAGGCTGAGATTTATTTTCATCCAATAAACAAAATGATGGACAGTATGAGGTCTTTTCAGGGACGTGTTGCAGAGATTTGAGGAAAGCAAAGACTGACGAAAGACCACAAAATAAACTAAAGCCACAGGAAATTCATCTTATAAAATCAATAAAGAGGAACTAAACCCATTGGTTTAAGTTTTCCAAAACCAGTTGCGTTCAAGGCATGCCATGAATTATAATTGTCACAGTCAGGGCTGCTGATAGAAACCATGGGGCTTCATACAGCCAACCTGACAGGGCCCCCCAATAAAAAACACAGTTTACTATGCTTCAGTTATGAATGAACACAATGAGTGATTGGTACGGATTAGTGCATTTATAGGTAAAGTCGATCCAGGGAACATTTGATTGCCTCTTGGAGGATCAGGAAGGAATTTTTTTCCCTGCAGGAGCAAATTGGTTCATGCTTTGCTGTTTTTTTTTTGCCTTCCTCTGGATCAACTGTGGGTATAGGATTATAACTTTTTTTTTTTTTTTTAATGGTTGAATTCGATGGACTTTTGTCTTTTTTCAGCCAGAATAACTATGTAACTCATTGTGTTAATTCAGGAAAGGAAGGGGGTGGTAAATGTGACATTTTCCAGACCTTTCCCCCACTCTCCAGAACCAAAATCCCTCTTAGCTTATATTATGATTCATAACTTTTTCTAGGTACATTTGCCAGCCTGGTCACTAGTATATTAATACTCAGCCGCAACTGCGGAATGGTTAGACATTATTATACACTTGAATGGTTCAGGAGATATACTTTTCTGCTTTTCTATATGTGTCAGATAAGGGGTGCAACATACCAGGAGAATGGTCTCAAATTGAGCCATCCGAATATGGGCTCCATGTTTAGGCAATTATGTCCTACGTAAAGATATCCACATGTAGGAAAAAGTGAGTTTTTAAAAGTAAGTCTGTTTTTACGCCCCCTTGGAAGGTCTTTTGAAGTTCAGTGAGGGACTTGGTTTACGCTTTTACGATATCCCAGATTGCACAGCAAACAGACAGCTAGGCCCCGGCTCCATTGGCGGTTTCATAGCTCGGAGCTCTCCTGCTGTGCTTTGGCTGCCTGTGACCTCTGCCATCACCCAGACCACATGTCACTCCACAGCGAGGGAGGGGGAGAGAGATATAATTGTACAAGATGGACGGTCCTTTGCCAAAATGCAGGTTCGTATCCATCTCTGAGTGTACGATTGCTACACTGGCCACCAGTGGAGTCATCAGATACTAGGATGTTGACACCCAGACTGCACGGTGCCCTAGGTTGCTAGGATGCAGGTGGTCAAATGAATGCCAGACCTTCTGGGACAGGTGTAATTTAGGACAGGGGTCCCCAAACTCTGGCTTGTAGGCCACATTTAGCTCACTACAAGATTTTACCCGGCCCTCAGATTTTATATCATGCATTTCTATGGTGCAGGTGGTCTGGCTGACAGGCTGCCCAAAGATAGGTTCTGATTTGCAAGGGGGGCTGGTATATGCAAGGAGGGCTCTAATCTGCAAAGAGGGACCCTTATGTGCTAAAAAGGCTCAGATGTGTAAGGGGGAGGGGGCTCTATGTGCAAGGATCTCTCTGACATGCAAGGAGGAACTCTGAGGTCCAAGGAGGGGCTCTGTTTTGCGAGGAGTGCTTTTGTTTGAAAAGGAGGATTTCTGATGTGATGGGGGATTTTGATATATATGTTGATCATATCCCCCTTATGTATTATACATGAAGATCATATCCCCCCCTTATGTATTATACATGGAGATCATATCCCCCCTTATGTATTATACATGGAGATCATATCCCCCCTTATGTATTATACATGGAGATCATATCCCCCCCTTATGTATTATACATGGAGATCATATCCCCCTTATGTATTATACATGGAGATCATATCCCCCCTTATGTATTATACATGGAGATCATATCCCCCCTTATGTATTATACATGGAGATCATATCCCCCCTTATGTATTATACATGGAGATCATATCCCCTTATGTATTATACATGGAGATCATATCCCCCCTTATGTATTATACATGGAGATCATATCCCCCCCTTATGTATTATACATGGAGATCATATCCCCCCTTATGTATTATACATGGAGATCATATCCTCCCTTATGTATTATACATGGAGATCATATCCCCCCCTTATGTATTATACATGGTGATCATATCCCCCCTTATGTATTATACATGGAGATCATATCCCCCTTATGTATTATACATGGAGATCATACCCCCCCTTATGTATTATACATGGAGATCATATCCCCCTTATGTATTATACATGGAGATCATATTCCCCTTTATGTATTATACATGGAGATCATATTCCCCTTTATGTATTATACATGGAGATCATATCCCCCTTATGTATTATACATGGAGATCATATTCCCCTTATGTATTATACATGGAGATCATATCCCCCTTATGTATTATACATGGAGATCATATCCCCCCTTATGTATTATACATGGTGATCATATCCCCCTTATGTATTATACATGGTGATCATATCCCCCTTAATCTCCTCTTCTCAGTAGATAATAAATTCAGTACCTCTAATCTTTCCTCATAGCTGAGCTCCTCCATGCCTCTTATCAGTTTGGTTGCCCTTCTCTGTACTTTCTTTAGTTCCCCAATGTTCTTTTTGTGAATTGGAGCCCAAAACTGAACTGCATATTCCAGATGAGGTATTACTAATGATTTGTACCGGGGAAATTATATCTCTCTCTCTGGAGTCTATACCTCTTTTAATACAACAGAGGATTTTGCTCGCTTTAGATAGCGCAGCTTGGCATTGCTGCCATTATTAAGCTTGTGATCTACCAGAACCCCCAGATCCTTCTCCACCACTGACCCCCCCAGTTGTACCCACCCCTAGTATGTATGATGCATGCACATTCTTAACCCCCAAGTTCAGAACCTTACATTTATCAACATTAAACCTCATTTGCCACATAGTTGCCCAATTACACAGAGCATTGAGGTTGGCTTGTAAGTTGGAGACATCCTGTAAGGACGTTATTCCACTGTACAGCTTGGTGTCATCTACAAAGACTGAAATGGGATTTATAATTCCAGACCCTATATCGTTTATAAATACATTAAAAAGTAAGGGTCCCAACACTGAACCTTGGGGTACAACACTGACAACCCTAGACCATTCAGAGTATGAATCATTAACCACTACTCTCTGAATACCATCTTTTAGCCAATTTTCTGTCCATTTACATACAGATTTTTCCAAGCCTGTAGACTTTACCTTACACATTAGCCGTGTGTGGGGAACTATGTCAAATGCTTTTGCAAAATCAAAGTATACCACATCCACCCCTCTGTCCAAGTATACCACGTCCACCGCCACCCCTCTGTCCAAGTATACCACATCCACCGCCACCCCTCTGTCCAAGTATACCACGTCCACTGCCACCCCTCTGTCCAAGTATACCACGTCCACCGCCACCCCTCTGTCCAAGTATACCACGTCCACCGCCACCCCTCTGTCCAAGTATACCTCGTCCACAGCCACCCCTCTGTCCAATGTTTTGCTCACCTCCTTATAAAAGGAAATCAGATTTGTTTGACAACTTCTGTCTTTCATGAATCCATGCTGTCTGTTGCTTAAAATATTTTTTTCCAGCAAGAACTCATCTACGTGGTCTTTTATTAAACTCTCCAGTATCTTCCCAATTATAGAAGTTAAACTAACAAGTCTATAATTACTTGGTAAAGATTTTGACCCATTTTTAATATTGGCCCCACATTGGCCTTACGCCAATCCAGTGGTACTAAGCCAGTCATTAAAGAGTCCCTAAGAATTAGAGACAATGGCTTTGAAATGACAGCTCAATTCTTTAAGGCCCCGTGGGAGTATGCCATCCGGTCCAGGGGCTTTATTCACCTTTATTCTGTCTAAATATTTTTGGATCACATCAATTGTGAGCCAATGTGGATCATCTGGAGCTGTGTCAGTACCACACCCATTATGGACAAGAGCCCCCCCCCCCATGCTCCTTTGTATACACAGAGCTGAAGAAGGGATTTAATAAATTTGCCTTCTCTTTGTCCCCAGTCACCCACTCTAGATGATTCTGTAAAGGGCCCACATGCTCGGACCGAACCTTTCTACTATTAATATATTTGAAGAATTTTTTGGGGTTGTTCCTGTTATCTTTTGCAATCTGTCGTTCATTTTCAATTTTTGCGGCCTTTATTTCTTTTTTGCATATTCTGTTATACTCTTTGTAATGTTTAAACAATGATAGTGTTCCTTCATTTTATATTTACTAAAAGCTCTTTTCTTACTATCTATAGCTTTTTTAACTTTGGCCGTAAGCCACATAGGTTTGATTTTCAGCCTTTTAAACTTGTTGCCCATGGGAATATATTTTGCAGAGTGTTCACATACAGTCTTTTTGAAGAACTCCCATTTCTGTGTTGTGTTCATCGATGCCAATATTCCTCCCAGTCTAAGTCTTGGAGAGCAGCTCTCAGCCTCGGAAAATTAGCTCTCTTGAAATTGAGCGTTTTTATTTTTCCCGTATGTGCTCGCTGTTTACAGCTAACAATGAATGCAATCATGTTATGGTCACTGCTACACAGATGTTCTTTTAAATGGGCATTTGTAATAAGCTCTACATGGTTTTAGATTACCAGGTCCAGCAGAGCATCATTCCTAGTTGGGGCCTCTGTGAACTGTACCATAAAATTGTCCTGTAGTAGGTTTAAAAATGTTTGCCCTTTAACTGTTCCTGCAGTACCATTACTCCAGTCAATTTCTGGGTAGTTAAAATCCCCCATTATTATCACTGTCCTCGCCCTTGCAGCCCTTTCGATCTGTGCAAGGAGCTGAGTCTCCATCTCCTCATTAACACTGGGAGGCCAATAGCAAACTCCAATGATTCCTTTTGTAGTACGCACCCCAATGTGCAGTTCCAACCATAATACTTCAGCCTCATCACACTCTCCATCAACTAGGTCCTCTTTCACACTCACTCTGAGATCGCTTCTCACATAGAGACAGATACCACCACCTTTCCTATTTACTCTGTCTCTCCGAAAGAGAACCTAGCCAGGAATATTAATGGCCCAGTCATGTGAAGCATGAAGCCAAGATTCAGCAATACCAATTAAATCCTAGTTCTCTTCATGCAACAAAGCTTCCAACTCACCTATTTTGCTGGGCAGACTTCTGGCATTGGTGAACAAACATTTTAATTCATTGACACTTGGTGCACACATATTTTGCATATTTTTAATTTTCATACAAATAGTACCAATTCTACTGGTTGTTTGTAACATGGGAACCTTCTTATCATCTGCCATAGCCCTCCCCTCAGCTTTCCCCATTCCACCCACCAATAAGTACTGACACCTGTCTGATCTGCCTACCCGTTATAATCTAATTATCCCTCCCCCCTCGATCCTAGTTTAAATACTCCTTCAGCCTTCCCATAAACCCCTCTCCCAGCACAGCAGACCCCCTTCCATTTAGGTGCAGACCATCTCTAGCATATAGGTTGCACCCCAATGAAAAGTCAGCCCAGTGCTCTAGGAACCCAAATCCTACCCTCTTATACCATGTCTTCAGCCATGCATTGAGTTCTCTAATCTCCTTGTCTTTCCTGAGTTACGCATGGCACAGGTAATATTTCAGAGACTATCACCTTGGAAGTCCTTGCTCCAAGGCAGTTTATTTCTGGGAAAGTGTTTATTCATTCATTTAAATTGTATTCAATAATTTATAAAACTAATTTTTTTTAACGCCGAATATTTGTAAAATATATGTGGCCCTCATACTGGAAAGTTTGGAAACCCATGATATATAGGATACGGAAATACCTGTTTTTTAAACATAGTGAAACTGTCCGGGAAATGTCATTTACTGGACAGCAATATAAATGGTATTTTAATGGGCGTATAATTTAAAGGAATTGTGTGTTCCTGATGTATAGCTTTAAACATTATTAAGAGAGCTGCCAAAGAGTATTTAAAAATATGGACTGATCATCGGCTTTATCTGTGTCAATAGTTTTTTTTAACTTTGCAACAATCTAATGATTGCTGCTTTGGCAACCAAGTGCTTGACATGCTTGATTGATGTCACAGTGACCTAGAGTTATGAAGCCTAAATGTTAAAAAGTAACATCACATTGCAACATTTACTTGTATTCTTCTGTAGCAATCCATGTCCTTTGTTCAATAGATACATTCACATATTTCAAACACAAGGCCCATGGGCCAAATTTGGCCCGCCAGACCATTTTATGTGGCCCTCACACCTCTCCTGCAGTTGTGGCACCCCCTCATCTCTGCCTCCCCTCCATCTCAGCAGTTAGCAGCAAAAAGCAGGACAGAACTCCTCCTACAGATCCTGTGATTCTTTATGCAGCGGCAGAGAGGCTATTCTCTGCCTCCCCCTGTCTCAGCAGTCAGCAGCAGAGAGGAGGACAGAACTCCTCCTACAGATCCTGTGATTCTTTGCGCAGCGGCAAAGAGGCTCATCTCTGCCTCCCCCCTCATCTCAGCAGTTAGCAGCAGAGAGGAGGACAGAACTCCTCTTGCAGATCCTGCAGCTCTCTATGTAGCTGCAGCACCCCCTTGTCTCCACCTCCCCGGTCTCAGCATCCAGCAGACTCCAGCAGCTGACTTCAGCCCCCCTCTGGTCCTTCTCCAGACCCTGCACTTTCTGCTTCCCAGGTCTGCCCCCAGCAGCAGCAGAAGGTGAGAGGGTGGGGGACTCTTGACTTCTGATGGTGGGGGGTTCTTGATATCTGATGTAAGAAAGGCTGGTGTGCACTTGCCATCTAGTCTTACAGATACAACCAGGGGCAGACTGACCATTTGGAAACTAGGGCACTGCCCGAGGGCCCAGGGTCAGTAGGGGGCCCCATGAGAGGCCCCTGGTACCTTTTTCATAGGCTTTTTTGAGTTTGGGCAAAGGGCCCATGATCCTCTATTGCCCGGGGGCCCCATGAGTTGTCAGTCCGCCCCTGGATACAACTGACCCTTATAGGGCAACCATATTTCTGATGTGGCCCGCAATAAAATTTTGTCTGACGGCCCTGCTCTAATTAATGCTTGGTTCACACCTATGCATTTTTAGTGCATCCACCACAGTCTATTTTTTTTTTTTAATCCAAACAACTTTTATTGTCAAGACAATGCAAAAGAAAAAAAATGGAACAGTGCTTACAGAATGCTCAGTAATATTACTGCACCAGCAGAATTATACATAGATAGAACAATGTGGACACGCAGATCCTGTCACATACAGAATAACTGAAGCAGTGACCAATCATAACAGAGAACACAAGGATCCAAGTCTATCTTGACAATACATAACTTTTTCCTTTTACCTTTTATTCCTCCCTGTCCAGATGTACATATAAATGGGGGAAAGGAACAAAGCCAAAAACAAACCATCAGGAAAAAACAACCGGTTCACCCGAGACATCCCATCAGAGAAAACTACGGATACACCTGATTTCCCCTAAGGGGCAGTGGTGTATTTAGGTTTCATGCTGCCCTAGGCAACACAAGAATCAGCTCCCACCTGAGAGAGCCTTCCACTACCACCACCCCCTATACACTGGCTACCCCCACCCCGGCAACATAGAAGACACTCACCTTCACAGCTCTGGACATCCCCGGGAACAAGAGTCAGGCTCTGCATACACCATCAAGTAGCCTGCAGTCTCTCTCAGATCCCACCTGGTCCCCATGCTCCATGTGTCCTTTCTCCCATCCCTTCTTTTGGGGGGGCAGTGCTGCCCCCTTGAAAAATGCTGTTGCCGCCCTGAAGAAATGCCGCCCTAGGAAAATGCCTTGTTTGCCTTGTGGTAGATACGTCCCCTGCTAAGCGGGGATAAGTGGAGCTACATGCCTGATATAAAAAGTCACACCCACAAGAGCTGATCCACTATTAATTGAGGAGGGGCAAGCCCAGGCATATCTAGCCAAACCCGCCACACACCTGATGGAACTTACAATCAGCATTGCAATGTTGGTATGTGAGTTTTTCCCGTGGGAGTAACGAATTAACATAATCAACACATTGCTTACTAGTCTGGGGGGCAGACGGTAACCAGTACCTTGCAATCAACTTCCTAGCCAGATATAAAAGTTTAGACACCATGATATATACTCCAGGTTGGAACAGTTCTTGGTCCAGTGCTTCCAGCAGACATTGCAGAAGATCATAGGGAACAGCATATTGCAATACTAGAGAAATAAGCTGGAGAACCTCACTCCAATATCTATGCAACTTTGGGCAGTGCCAGAGCATGTGAATGAAATCGCCTTCCTGGACCCTACATCTTGGGTAATCAGGTGAATCTCGCCTACCCCACTGGTACAATTGTACAGGGGTCCTATACACCTGATGGAGAATAAACAATTGTGACAATTTACGAGAGGGAGAATGAGAGATCACCGGAACTGATTCCAGGGCAGCATCCCAGAGATCCCCAGCAAGCTCTCCAACATCCCGGGACCACTGAGCCCTACCCGGGAGACTAGCATGGTCCCATACCATGGACAACAACTGAGAGTAGACCTGAGAAATCATGCCCTTTTTATGAGTTGCTTGAGTTACAACCTTAAGAAAGATCGAGTCTGTCAATGTGAGATTGGAGAGTAGAGACTGGCTCTGTACCGCATGGCGTAGCTGAAGATATCGATAAAATTGCCTATGTGTAAATGTAAGTTCCATTTGCTATTGTGAAAAGGACTTCGGGGTCTCCCGAGTACAGATATAAATTTCAAGCCCCGTTCCCTCCATTCTTGAAAACTCTCTAGTTTAGCTAATTCTACATATTGCGGATTGTTCCACAAGGGGGTACTGGAGATAAACCCGGTAACATAAAAGGATGCTTTTACCACACTCCACACGTGCCTCAG